ATATATATATCTTTATTTATTAATACCCATCTATACCTTTATTTCATCTCATCCCCATTCTTTTCAGAATTATTCCTTCAAATGAATGAATAAAACTCTTTATCTACATAGAGAGTTTTCAGTGGCTCTTTGCTGCCCTGTGGTGGTGATGTGGCACTGGGACGCCCAGACCTGGCTACAGTTGTGATGGGTTCAAAACCCAGCCATGGTCTACAGACAGCAAAAGCCCCCCCACCCCTCCCATTTCCACAAGCTGCGTCCTCTCCCCATAGCACAAAAGCAACCCTCCCTTTCCCCATAAGTGAGACACCACCAGTCATTCCCCGGGGGACTAGATGACCTACAAGGCCCCTTCCAACTCTGTTAAACTGTATTCTCCACTTTTAAAGGATTATCCCCGTCCCGCCTTCACCGTCAGATAGACAAGCTGGCCTAGACCTGTGAGGCTACCTTGGGAACGGGAGCTTCCCTGGCACAGGGAAGAGAGGCAGGTCAGGTTGGATGGCCTCAGGGAGCACCTAACATTCAGGGCCTACGTCAATTCCCCCTTGGTGTCAGAAGCCCGGTGAGGGGTTGTGGATCAGTCTGCCTCTCTTGGCCTGGCCTACCCTGCAGGGTAATTGTACGGGAAGAAACAGGGGAGGGAGGACTGGGCCTTTGGGCGAAAACCCCTAAGGGATGTAAAGACCCCTGGGGTGTTATGGGGTGGGGGGGCTCTCTGCCAGACCACCAGAGAAACCCCTGGGGTCCTCCCTCAGTCTCTTGGGCAGAGGGAGGGTGGGCAGGTGGGCTGCGGGATGCCCCCCCATAACTCAGTTTCTCTTTGCAGGGATTCATGGGGACGAGCGAGACTTGTACGCGACGGAGAAGAGAAAGCGGACCAAATGCTGCGCGTGACGAAGTCCCCCACCCCCCTGAACAGACCCCTCCCCTGGCATTTGCACTGGACTCTTTTCTAGACCAAAGGAAGCCCCCTCCCCGTTTCTGACACGGGAGAAGCAGCCATCTTCCTGGTGCCAAACCAAAGATTCCTTGTAGAATTCAAGTGTCCAAACTTGGCAACTTTGAAGACTTGTGGACTTCAATTCCCAGAATGCCCCAGCCAGCAGAGCTGGCTGGGGCATTCTGGGAGTTGAAGTCCACCCGTCTTAAAGTTGGCTGCAGAATTCTGGAATGTGAAGCACACGAGAGTTAAAAGTCAGCGGTGAAATTCTGGGAGTTAGAAGTCTTCAGTCTTCAAGAAGTCCATCTTAAAGTGGGCTATGGAATTCTGGGATTCGAAGTCCACAAGTCTTGAAATTGGCTGGGGGATTCTGGGAGCTGAAGTTTGCAAGTCTTGAAATTGGCTGGGGGATTCTGGGAGCTGAAGTTTTCAAGTCTTGAAATTGGCTGGGGAATTCTGGGATTCGAAGTCCACAAGTCTTGAAATTGGCTGGGGAATTCTGGGAGCGGAAGTTTGCGAGTCTTGAAATTGGGCTAGGGAATTCTGGGAGCTGAAGTTTGCAAGTCTTGAAATTGGGCTAGGGAATTCTGGGAGCTGAAGTTTGCAAGTCTTGAAATTGGCTGGGGGATTCTGGGAGCTGAAGTTTTCAAGTCTTGAAATTGGCTGGGGGATTCTGGGAGCTGAAGTTTGCAAGTCTTGAAATTGGCTGGGGAATTCTGGGAGCTGAAGTTTTCAAGTCTTGAAATTGGCTGGGGGATTTTGGGAGCTGAAGTTTGCAAGTCTTGAAATTGGCTGGGGGATTCTGGGAGCTGAAGTTTGCAAGTCTTGAACTTGGCTGGGGGATTCTGGGAGCTGAAGTTTGCAAGTCTTGAAATTGGCTAGGGAATTCTGGGAGCTGAAGTTTGCAAGTCTTGAAATTGGCTGGGGAATTCTGGGAGTTGAAGTCCACAAGTCTTAAAGTTGGCTGAGGAATTCTGGGAGTTGAAGTCCACAAGTTTTCAAGATGGCTGAGGAATTCTGGGCGTTGAGGTCCATCAGTTTTGGAATTGGGCTAGGGAATTCTGGGAGCCGAAGTCCACAGGTCTTCAAAGTTGCCAGGCTTGGACCCCCATGTTGTAGGGCCTCTCCTCCTGACCAAAGCTTCAGACTCACCTCCGCCTTCCCTCGCCAGGGCTCTGCATGCTCACCTGTGAGACCCTCCCCCGCCCCCCCCATGTCAGCCGAAGCCCCCCCCAGCCTTGCTCGGACTGTGCCGGCCACTTCCTGCTGACCGAAGAAGAAACACCTTTTTGTCTACGGAGATTTTCAAACACCTTTGTTGCTTTTTTGTACCTGGTTGTACCTTTTTTGTCTCTTTTGGGCTGAGCTGGTGGAGGGGAGGGTTGGCGGGGGGGGGGTCATACCTGGCTACTGACCAGTGGTGAGATTCAATTTTTTTTTTTTACTACCGGTTCTGTGGGCGTGGCTTAGTGGGCGTGGCTTGGTGGGCGTGGCAGGGGAAGGATATGCTGCCAAATCCCCTTCCCCTCCCCACCCCACTGACCTGCTTTCCAGCTCCGTTCTCCTGGGCAGGGCAACCCAAGGAGACCCCCAACTGATTGCTTGTGGGCATGGCTTGGTGGGCGTGGCATTCTGTGGGTGTGGCTTGGTGGGTGTGGCAGGGGGAATTTCCCTCCCCACCCCTCTGACCTGCTTTCCAGCTCCGTTCTCCTGGGCAGGGCAACCCAAGGAGACCCAGCCGATCAGCTGGCGGAGAAGAGACGGGGTTGGCGGGGCCACTCAGAGGCGGGATTGGCTGGTTCTCCCAACTCCTCGAAATTTCCACTCCCAGTTCGGTAGAACCGATCCGAATGGGCTGAATCCCACCTCTGGCACCAGCCCCAGAGACCCTGAAGGACTGGGAGTCAAGAGGGGGGGGGACAGTCTTGAAAAGGAAGACGGGGGGAGCTCTTCAGCCCAAAGAGGAGTGCTGGCTTCAGCCTGTTTGGACCCCGGGGGCCCTTCGGGGGCCTGGATGGGACCCCACCCCCGGCTTGGCTGGCTGGGAAATGGATGGCGCCCTCCCTGCCCCCAAATCCAGAGTCCTCCCCCCCCCAAGTGGGCTAAAAGTTAAGCAAAACCTGGAGCACTGGAAGGGCCCCAACTGCCTTTGGCTCAGCTGGGTGGGGGCCAGGAGCAAACCCCCCCCCCCCCCCCCCGGGTTCCGGGGCCCAATTTGTCCCTTTCCCCCCCCATAAGAACTGCAATATCAGGGGATCCCCGATTGCGCCTCCTTTTCCTGCAATTCTGCCGGGGGTCCTGCCCAGGGCAATGCAGCACCGAGGAAGGCAACTGGGGGGGGCGGGGAGAAGGCCAGGCCAAGGCACAGGAAGCCCCCCCCTCCCCAGCAAAGGGGTGGATTGGATTGCAGCAGAAAAGGGGCTCTTCCCTTCCCCCCCCCCCCTAAATGTCCTGGGGAGGCGTTTGGCGCAGCGGTGCCAGTTCGAGGCAGACTGGGGGCAAACACCACGCCCCCCCCTTGGGGAAAAAAAATCTGGCTGCTAAAAGTTAAGGATCAATTTGATGGCGCATCAGCCGATCCATAAGGACATATAAGCAGTCCTCGACTTACAAACACCATTGAGCCCCACCCCCTGAATTTCTGCGGTTAAGCAAGACCGTTGTTAAGTGAGTTTGGCTGCTCCATTTTACAACCTGAAATGCCACAGCTGATAAGCGAAGCCCTGCGGTGCTTACGATAGAAATCTACAGCAATTGGATGTGAATAAATAATAAATAAATATTAAATAAGTAAACCATATAAGTAGATATTAGCTAGTTACTTTGCTAGTTAGTTACTTAGATAGTTAAGATAGATAGTGATATAGATAGATGATAGATAGATAGATAGATAGATAGATAGATAGATAGATAGATAGATAGATAGAT